TTAATCAGCATGTATTCTAAAGAGATAGATTTGGTAATAACAATTTGACTGTCATTGAATACTCGAGGTTCCGGGTTAATGCAAGAATTTTGCCTTGTAAAATTACCGCTATCAACTCATCTCTATGGAGAATCAAGAGTAGACCTGATTACAAACCTGACTGTAGATAATTCTTAAATATAACCTTTCCGAATAAACATGGGTATGTGTCTGTACATCCCACACGACTCAAATGGCCTTATCAGACACATTTGAAAAATTGATAATCATTCGCAAAATGAAATGTGTAAATACAATAAATGTTATTAAAGTATTCAATTTTAAAATAACATATCCAACTTTTTGTAATTTTCTTTGGCTGGAATTTAAAATATTTTTTAAAATATATATTTCAAGTTCAAGCAAGGAATAAATAAACAAATCAACAAACTCTAAGGAAAATTCAAATCGAAATGTTTCCCTTATCACATGGTATAATCAAAAACCCAACACACCAAACGTATGGAAAACAACTGTCACAATCCCTACTTGGCATAGGAACTTCCTTATGTAGAAAATGGTGCATTCAATAACTTAATAAATGTGGTGTAATTTCCATAACATTACAGAAATATTCAATAATCAAAATAAATGGACAAAATTGGTAAATATAAACCTTACACAAGTATTTATACAATGTGATTTTACTCGTAAAGTGTCGTCTCTACCAGAGACCTAACAACGTAGGGGTTACCAGGTTGGCCTTCAACAAGTAGCAAAACCAGAACTTATAAACTCGTAGTCTAATAGTTAGTCAGTGTCATCTTTTATTTTTAATATTTCTGTCAAAGAGAGGGAGGGGAACACAAGTTAATTTTAAAAACAGAGACGAGGAGATCCGAACAATATTTAATTCCACTAGCGGTGTTTCTTATAGCCTATTTTAAAGCTGCTATTATTGGGGCATACATTTGATCTGTTGTAGTATATATAACAAAGTATATATTATATTTTGTAGTGTACTGTATCATAATTATATGATCCATCGCCCCGTAAGATTTATCGTTGGCTATTATTCAGTCATTTAACAAAGTATATGTATATTGTTGCAATTATTGAAAATGTTAATGTGTGTTTCAAACGTCCTATTTGTAATATTTGCGAAAATTACGGGAAACTTGAACTATGACGTCAGATTTGGTATTTTATAGAAAGACAACTCTTTTCATAAAAACAAATGAGAAAAAAATAAATGAAAATTACTTAAAACTTTATTAAAAGGTTGGTGACATCTAGTGTTTTTGGCTTTATTTAAAAGAGTACACAAAACAGTTATTTTTTTTAAATTGTAAAGAAGAAATTACTTGAAGATACTTTTTTAATACTAAAAACTTGCTTCATGCTTATGTATTTATTTTTGGCGGGAATGAAATAAATCCTACTATTATGATCAAAACACCATGAATGATTAACTCAGGAATCTTAAATTATAGACATAAATCTATTGTTAATGAAAAAAAAAGTTATGCACCTAGTTTCAGTAATATTTGATTATTTAAAATTTTAAATAAGAACCAAATTATGTTGATATTGCGGCAAAACGTTACCTGAGGATTCTTTAGTGACGAAACGAAGTCGATGGTCCCTAATTTGTTTAATCATGATTTAATCCAAAACTCAAGAAATACTTGCAGTCAAAATTTTATAAAAACATGACTTGTAGACATTGATATGAATAAGAAGATGTGTTATGAGCCCAAACGAGACAACTAATCATCAAAGTCACTATGTTTTAAAAGTTAACAATAATAGGTCAAAATACGACTTTTTGGTCTTTAAGTAAGTGGTGACTAAATGATTCACAAAAACTGTTTAACACAATGCTACAATATAACGACACTTTATCGATCGCTACTAAAATGACTAATGATAACTTATTTAATAAGTGATATAGTATATTACTCAAGAGATGACAGTAGGGACCATAAAAACAGCCACACATACTGAGAAACTAAAACACAAAGTAAGTCTTTTAAATGGCTGATATTTTTCTGGTAACTGGGAAGTTACACACAAACGCATCGATTTTAGCTACCTACCTGTACAATTGTCAGTATACTACTTACTTATGCATGTACTACAGCAAGGAGGTGGTCCACAGCACGTTGGACAGAATTTCGGTTCTACAACATGAAATTATTCAGAAAATGATGTTGGTCTCTGTGCTAGGCGATGCAATTAAATTCTAAACTTCCGTGATAAGTGCGCTCTAGTATGCAGTTAAAGGTATGTTAAAGATGTCATAAGAAGTCAGGAGAAGGTATTGTTTTGGCATGAAATAGCTGCCATTTTGCTTGAACTTAAAGACACAGTAGCAATTAATGACATACTTTGGATTCATTTTTTTCGTGGGTTACAATTTTAGTGGATTAAAGAAATATTACAATTTCATGAATATTTGAGTTCGTGGTTTGGTCAAAGTCTGCATTAACGCTTGTAGAAAAATTTGTATTTCGTTGAACATTTAATTTAGTGGCTTACTTGTATCCATGAATTCAACGAAAACTGGTGTCCAACGAATAATAATGAATCCACAATAGAAAGCAATGGGGCTATGAATTAGTTGCTTTCTTATCTTTAACGTAGGTCAAAATTATTTCATGCATATCAGGAGAAGAGAAACCAGAACTAGGCGGGCATGAACCAGGTCTTCTTTTTTCTAAGATAGATGATTTGATTTGATTTTTGCTGTTTTAACGCCACTTTTAAGCACCGCTTTTGGGCTATTTCGTGGCGGCCAGTTGTTATTGGTGAAGGAAGCCGGAGCGCCCGGAGAAAACCACCGACCTGTCTAAGATAGAAACATAACAAATGTATTGCTGTTTAAATATATAATATTGCGAATAAATTATAGTATAATGAGATGTTAATGTTTTCGAATTGCCCTTTTCTCTTTATTGTGAATTTCTATATCCTTTTTCTTCCGGACACCTGAGATATTGTTAAATCTGGTTTCTAAGTGGTGTTATCAACTCCTCCGGAGCAACTGAGCTACATTTAAGCGGTATTACCGAGTCAGGAGTTGTTATCAAATAGTCCTTGTATATGTATGTTGGCGTTTGTTTTGTTGCAGTTCAGTTTTACTGTTGTTCCTTTGTTTTCCTGTTATAATTGATGTGTTTCCCTCGGTTTTAGTTTGTAACCTGGATGTTTTGTGTGTGTGTTTTTGCTTAATCGATTTATCACTATTGAACAGCGGTATACTACTGATGCCTATATTAATCTTGTTTGTCAGTAGTTTTTCTTTGGTCATGTTAATCGTGTTAATGGTTGTTCTTATTTTACTTATAGATTGGTTTATTGAGAATTTGTTGCAAAGTCGTAAATTATATAAAATGAACGTGTAATTCGTAGGCAAAGGAATAAAAAGATAAACAATTTAAAAAAACAAAATCTATTTAAAAAAATGGCCGACACATAAAAGTAGCAATGAGGGGCTAAGGTTCTCCCGCCATGATGTACATCTACTTCATATCTATAGTGTCTCATCCCTGATGGATTAAAAAAGTAACGAATTTAACATAACTTAAACATGGTGTATCTAGTTGTTCTGTAATTATATGTGTGACTTACCTGGGAAGGTGCATACATGTGCACAATTATTAGAACAACACTTCTTTACTCCTGGACAATCGCTGTCGAAACCACATTCTGTAGCACACGTACCGACGGTATCAGGGGGAAGAACCGGACAAGCACCAGGCTTTTGGTTGACTAGGAAAGAGATTTATAGAATAACTTTTCGAAGAATTCAAACATAGTAAATATCCAACAAGTGACCGAACAACAGGTTTATTCACAAATGCGTGTAGCGCATGAGTTAATTATCAGTGTTGTTAGGTCACGAGTTGAATAATAATCGGTATTCAAATTTTTTAATTGATTATTCTTTTTATTACATTAACAATGGGCTTTTATTACAAATTAAAGTAGAAAATGGCAGGAACTATATCTTTTTTATGCATTCACCATTTGCTCTAATGCAATGGGGCTATGAATTAGTTCCTTTCTTATCTTTAACGTAGGTCAAAATTTTTTCATGCATATCAGGAGAAGAGAAACCGGAACTATGCGGACATGAACCAGGTCTTCTTTTGTCTAAGATAGAAACATAACAAATGTATTGCTGTTTAAATATATAATATTGCGAATAAATTATAGTATAATGAGATGTTAATGTTTTCGAATTGCCCTTTTCTCTTTCTTGTGAATTTCTATATCCTTTTTCTTCCGGACACCTGAGATATTGTTAAATCTGGTTTCTTAGTGGTGTTATCAACTCCTCCGGAGCAACTGAGCTACATTTAAGCGGTATTAAATCATTGTCATATAAGCGGGAGTTTTGGCAAGCCATAAAACGAGATTAGACCACCATGTTTACAAAACATGTGCTTTACCGAGTCAGGAGTTGTTATCAAATAGTCCTTGTATATGTATGTTGGCGTTTGTTTTGTTACAGTTCAGTTTTACTGTTGTTCCTTTGTTTTCCTGTTATAATTGATGTGTTTCCCTCGGTTTTAGTTTGTAACCTGGATTTTTTGTGTGTGTGTGTTTTTGCTTAATCGATTTATCACTATTGAACAGCGGTATACTACTGATGCCTATATTAATCTTGTTTGTCAGTAGTTTTTCTTTGGCCATGTTAATCGTGTCAATGGTTGTTCTTATCTTACGTATAGATTGGTTTATTGATAATTTGTTGCAAAGTCGTAAATTATATAAAATGAACGTGTAATTCGTAGGCAAAGGAATAAAAAGATAAACAATTTAAAAAAACAAAATCTATTTAAAAAAATGGCCGACACATAAAAGTAGCAATGAGGGGCTAAGGTTCTCCCGCCATGATGTACATCTACTTCATATCTATAGTGTCTCATCCCTGATGGATTAAAAAAGTAACGAATTTAACATAACTTAAACATGGTGTATCTAGTTGTTCTGTAATCATATGTGTGACTTACCTGGGAAGGTGCATATATGTGCACAATTATTAGAACAACACTTCTTTACTCCTGGACAATCGCTGTCGAAACCACATGTTGTAGCACATGTACCGACGGTATCAGGTGGAAGAACCGGACAAGCACCAGGCTTTTGATTGACTAGGAAAGACATTGATAGAATAACTTATCGAAGAATTCAAACATAGAAAATATCCAACAAGTGACCGAACAACAGGTTTATTCACAAATGCGTGTAGCGCATGAGTTAATTATCAGTGTTGTTAGGTCACGATTTGAATAATAATCGATATTCAAATTTTTTAATTGATTATTCTTTTTATTACACTAACAATGGGCTTTTATTACAAATTAAAGTAGAAAATGGCAGGAACTATATCTTTTTTATGCATTCACCATTTGCTCTAATGCGATGTTATTGATATCTTCTTGACAACACACATTGTAGTATGACGTCAGAGGAGTGAAAAATCCGAGTTTATTTAACATGTGAATAACCAGTTGTCATTTCACTGGGTAATCACGGTAATTTATTGCAACCAATGTAATAAATTTATTATATAAATTGAAAAAATTCATTAATATCACTATTGATGTGAGATTGATTAGTTACATACAGTTTTTAAAGTGTCAGTTTACTTTACTTTATTTATAGATTCTTACATTGATACCAGTGGATTATCGGATTTATCCAATCGAGATAGTTAAATTATCAGTTTTAAAGGCCGAACCTCGGAGAGGACTTTAAAATTAATAATTTAACTATCGAGATTGGATAAATCCGATAATCCACGAATAACTAAGTAAGAATATGTTTCTCTAATGAATAAAAAATAAGTTTTAATTTTTTGTTAAACGAAAATCCCCTTCGAGTGCCTTCCACATTTCACAAAGTTGTCAATTTCATTAACACCTGTCAGCATATTTTGATTCATTCAGTTAGCTGATTAAGGTTATGACCCTTTAACTCATCCAATCATCTTCTGAGATCACCGGCGACCACACGTTGATTAATTTTTGTTATACAATGATCGAGTGCCGAAAGGTATTAATTGTCAAAGAATGAGAGAAACTCAATTACATGATCACAATATAATTTTTAAATACTTCTGTAATATTGAGCATTTTTTTACACTTCACCTTTCGTTAGATTATATCATTTACTTCTGTAATAAACTATGGTGATAATAATCGTATTGTGAGATGTAAACGTTTTCGAAATGTCCCTACCTCTTTATTGTGTATTTGTCTTTATTGTCTTTCCGGCGCACCGGAGGTAGTTTGGTTTAATATGGTTTCTTAGTAGTTTTTAATGATTCCTTCTTGAGCACCTGAGGTAATTTGCTTTAATCTTGTTTATCAGTAGTGTTTTTTTTTGGACATCTTCGACAACCCATTTTTCCTTTGGCCATTTTAATTCTGTTTTTATTACTTATAGTTTGTGATTAACGTTTGGTCTAGTTTCCGCCTATTTATAATGTTCATACCTATATCGATAATTTTTCTATAACGACGACATGTTCCGTAAGGCATATCAAGAACTGAACGTATTAAATTATATGTGTAGCATAAATTGATCCGTTTGTGTCATAAATTGTATCAATGAATTCATGTAGTACAGAATACTAGTTATACAACTATATCATAACAGCATAATTCTTAATAGGATTAGGGATCAAGATGTTAAATTTTACTAGTCAGTTTCAAGTACAAATAAGACTTTCATATCTATATTACTAAATGAATAGAGTTGAAATTGGGTGTCGCGTTTTCTTCTTTCACATAAAATCCAAAAATATTGTTTGATATCACAAAGGAGTAATGACCAGCGTAGTTTATTATGTGTTCATTTCAATATCTTTTGGGGTTATTTGGGGTTTAAAATCGGAACAAAAGCCAGTTCGGATCAACCGTGCTTCACGACGTTCGGCTCTGAAATTTACGTGCCCTCATCCGGTCTCACTAATTAGCGACAAGAAGAATTGTAGCGACAAGAAGCGACAAGAAGAACAAATTAGCGACAAGAAGCGACAAGAAGAATATTTAGCGACAAGAAAACAAATTTAGCGACAAGAAAGTGAATATCAATTTAAAGAGTCAATATTTCCGTCAATGCACGTCTGCCCGGCAAAATTAAATTGTATTTAATGTAAGGGGAGAGGCTCTATATTACTGAATGAATAGAGTTGAAATTGGGTGTTGCGTTTTCTTCTTTCACATAAAATCAAAAAAATTTGTTTTATATCACAAAGGAGTAATGACCAGCGCAGTTTAGTATATGTTCATTTCTATATCTTTTGGGGGGTATTTGGGGGTAAAAATCGGAAAAAAGCCAGTTTGGATCCACCGTCCTTCACGACGTTCGGCTCTGAAATTTATCCGCTCTCACTAATTAGCGAAAGAAGAATTGTAGCGACAAGAAGCGACAAGAAGAACAATTTAGCTACAAGAAGCGACAAGAAGACTATTTAGCGACAAGAATATCAATTTAAAGAGTCAATATATCCGTCAATGCACGTCTGCCCGGCAAAATTAAATTTTATTTAATGTTAGGGGGGGGGGGGAAACATTGTTTTGCGGAGCGGAGCATGTTGCGAATTATTTTTGAGTAAATAAGCAAAAGTATATTTCGCGGGTATTTTCTAGTGTTAAATAAATAAATAAATAAAAGTCAATACGTCATGTGTCTTTGAAAACTAAACAATTTTAATATTGTGAAGGCACATAATTGTTGTTTACATGTGTGTGGTTAATTTTTTGTTACATTGTTGTTTGTCCAAATAAAGTTTCTTATGATGAATTATTTTATTTAGTAATCGTATCAACGTTAGAAAATTTGCATCTAATGAAAAATATAATTTCAATCGGTTGATTTTAAGAATTAGAATGCAATTATTTTTTTTCTGAATTGTCTGCCCATAGGTGGCGTTTAAGTCATGTGATTTGGCGGTTAAATCGTTCGGCACGACAGGGTCTAATCGATCGTTAATTTTCTAAATACTACTTGTTATTTAAGATTTTGTATCATGCATTAAGAGATTGGTTCGCTTTACATAAATGTGTGTGTTCATTGAACTATTTATATATTTATAGAGATGTTTTGTAGTCTGTATATGAAACATATTAATAAATGGTAATTAAACCAGCCATCAGCTCTGTCGTGTGGTATTGCACTTTACTATTTCTTATTATTGTTATGATGAGAATAATATGAGATGCTGATATATAGGTATTAACGGAAGAAGAACGCATTAGATGTTGGACATTTGATTCATATGTTCTAGGTATGATACATGTGAATGTTGTTTTAATTCTTTTACTTACCATCGATCATGCCTTGAGAAGTCGCATCCTGATAAATAAAAACGAATAATCTAGTTGAATACATAAAATAAGAACATGTGGTTTAACTGCAAATGGAATAAAAAACAATCCAACAGAGTCCAAATGAAACATAGTTTAGCAATTATGCACCACCGTATGGCCAGAGAGCAAAACCGATAATGTGTAGTCAGCGATGTAAGATTTCATATAATGACAAAATGTTATTCAATTAAACGCGGAAAGAAAAGGCCTGATTGATGTATAAAATAACAAACAACAAAGAAACCACAAATACAACAGACAGGAACGAATGATAAATACCGACAGATTTGTTTAGCTGTGCCCATCATCAAAAGTAAATTCACAAAAATACCGAACTCCGAGGAGAATTCTAATGTGCTTTGTCGATATGCTTTGTTTGGTTTCTTTATTGACATATTTGTTTGTTTTATAGCGAATAAGATTATAACACAATGATGACTGCTGTAGCCCTATTTTTTATATTTACTTTTTTTAACCTACATTGATCTTTATTAGATATGTCAACTCCGTAAAGTTTTACTTATCGTGTTCTCGTTGCTTTTATCGACAGATATTCAAGTACTCGCACGGTAATATACCTTTAATACGGAAACACAAAAATACGTATGCGTTGTCCAACAAACGAAAAACCATTTACATAGGTATCTTGGAAAAAACATTACACACCATAATTAATACCTCATTATATTTCAAGTACCAAGTAAGAAAAAACAAAAATTATCAATAGAATTTAAATACACCTAGTTAAATCTTATAACAAGGTATCCATTTTCAAACAATAGTATTTAAAAATCGTTAAGAAAACACATCGAATGTTTAAGAAGGATTAAGGATTAGAAGTTTAACTGTTCACTGGGGTTCGACAGATGGTGCAACGAATTTGTTTTATTTGGAAATATTTTCTTGTCCACTATTATTTGGGACAGTAGTTTTTGCAGCTTTTAAAATTTTGGTCTTCCAGAGGAATATATATGTGTTGACGGTACCGATGTGACAAAGTACCTAAGACGTGTTCAGACTAAAGTGTTAGAGTAAATACAGCCAACCTATTTTATGAGGCATTTTAACTGAAAATTTAGGACAAACATTCGAAACAAAAAGAATTAGACTTACGAATGTACTATTATGAGTAACCAGTAAAGCCCATTTAATTTTACGAAAGAGGCAACCGGTTCAAAAGTATTTCACTCTTGTATTAAGAAAGCAGCAATGTTAAAACTGGAAACCGATTGGTCGAGTATAATTTTGTAAAAGCAACAAATTGTTCATTGTTTTTTCACCCAGTTGCAAATTGAAAAATTGCAGGTAATCGGTGCAATACGTTTTGCACACTGAAATAAGTATTACGTTACTAAACACCCCAATAAGCAGAAATTAACAGACACTCGGAATGGGGAATCTGGTGGTTTCAAAGATTTATCAGTTGTTAAATTATAAGTTTGCTATCAGCAACAGGTCCTCATTCATTTGTTTTATAGTAATAATGGGGGAGTTCAGCTCATATAGAATCAACAGCGTTGCGAGAAAATACAACTTAAGGATACGAAATTTCATTGTTCTATAAGGTTATTATTATGCGATCGTTATGGCTTTTGTATGTAAATAATCAAACTTACTTGAGTATAGTATATACCTATCGTTACATATATCCAAATATACATCATCTTGATCAGCTTTAAATATTATACTGCTTCTAGAGCTCAGTAAATGTAGTTACTTTTATATGGTCTATAGCTTATAGATATTCGTTTATTTTTAGAAAAGTTATGTAACAATAATTAAAAAATG